CCTACCTCCTCCTCCTCTCTCTCTCTCTCTCTCTCTCTCTCTCTCTCTCTCTCTCTCTCTCTCTCACCCTCCCTCCCTCCTCTCTCTCTCTCGCTCTTTCTATCTTTTGCTCGCACCGTCTCTCTCCCTTTCGCTCTTCTCCTCTCTCCTTTTTCATCTCGCTCTCCCCCTCTCTCTATATCTATCTCCCCCTTCTCTTGCACACACTCATTGATCGTGTTTCCACACAATGAACGATGTCGACCTTTGTGTGGGGTGAATATACCCGAGAAGATATATGAACGGCTGCACAATCATGCAACGCGAGTTAATTCTACAGTGATTACAATTTCTGCCCAACAGACGATAGAGCAAATGCTGTTTGCCGTGATAGATGATAATCCTCGTTGTTGTTGTTATTGTTGTTGTTGTTGTTGTTGTTGTTGTTGTTGTTGGTGGTGTTGTTTTATCGTTTCTGATGTTTTTTTAATGCGTGAAGTGTATAGTGGCTCATGCGCTCAGGCGGGATATATGAGTATATAATAGCTGTGATATCTCACTAAAAAAATCATTCGACTGTGTCCGCTTAGTGTGTTTATATCGGTTAATCGCTACATTAACCCCGTTCACATAAATATAGTATATCTGTGTAAGGGATGAGGTTGAACCTTTCGTTACATTAACCTTGTTTATAGCAGTACATCTGCGTTATATGAGAGTCGTGTTTGCGTAGGGGAAGGAGAGGGAGTAACAGAAGGGGAAGGGTATGTGGAGGGAGAGGGAAAAGAGAACGAAATGGAGAAACATAGGGAGGGAACGGGCAGATAGAAGCCGAGTGAGGTGCTGGAGGGGAGAGAGCGATTACAAATGAAAAATCGATAATACAAACCCGGATCTGAAACTCTTTCGGCAGTTTTAACGGTTATTGTATTGACAGATGCAATGATCTTATTGCAGCGTAGCTGACATCGCTATTTCTGTCTACTCTTTGTTAGCTTTACAACTGTTCATTATAATGTGTTTGTTCGCATTGCGAAATTCGTTTACCGTCGTGTGCATGGCGCCATGTTGAATTGTTAACCGCTATTGTTATTCGTTATCAAAGCGTATACACACAGATATACACACAGATATTTCATTGTGTTTTCTATATAACGTTATTAAAAAATAAAAATACCGTTTTTTCTATCTACAGAATTGCATGCATTCGCAGTTGTTGTTATATCTAATTATTTGCTACCGATTTTCTTATTCCACCTGGAATTTTTCGATAATAACTTAATAGTAGTATTTAGGCCTAATTGAGATAGGGCGTCTACTACAGATGTGCCTCTATATGCGGTGGGCGGGGGTCGTAGCGGGGAGGGGGCAATAGAACAGCTGTCCCTTAGATCGTAGAGGAAATAAAAAGGTGCCCAATGAATAGTGAACAAGCCTAAATAAAATGAGATCAATAATAGAAAAAATTATTCCTTCCAGGCTTCTCCCTAAGTTGCGCAAACCGGGCGCGCCCGCCCCGTTTGGGAAAACTCCCCCCCACCCCCGTTTCAATCGTTGCGCCACGTTTAAATTATTTCCGCCCGGATTAATAAAAAAAATTATTAGCTGCTGCTACTGGCTAGGGCCACCTCTAGGGGCCACCTCGGCAAGAATTCCCATTCGACCCACTGGCAGCAAGAACAAGTCCGCACCTGCAGCTACAGCACACACGCATCTATTGACTATATATAACAACGTTATATATAGTTGTTATAGTAGTTATAGTTGTTATAGTAGCTATAGTTGTTATAGTAGTTATATGTAACTATATATAATGTTGTTTTATATAGTCAATAGATGCGTGTGTGTTGTAGCTGCAGGTGCGGACTTGTTCTTGCTG